TCCATACAGTTCCTTTAAATGTATTTCAGTTACTTCTGTTGCTTTGCTGTAGGAACTCAGACTTCAGGTGATTCCTCTAGAATGGAGTTTGCACAGGAGGGATTCAGCACAGCCTTCACATCATATGTAAATAATATGTGATTTTACCAAATCCCTAATATTAATCTCTTCGGACCAAGTGAATGATCATAGTATGGTTATGCAGTTATACATTTTCATTAAAGGTTGAAAATGTATAGGAATAAACTTTAAATACTAAAAAACTGTGACCCCAAAGACAACACTGTACCCTTTCATCTTTTGTAATGCACTCACATTTTTGTCAAATAAAAGAAGGGTATGCAGTAGCTTGAGATGGTGTATATTCTCCAAATCCAGTGACAGTTTAGTTTTGCTTTGTTTAGGGAAGTGTGTTGGTGAGTGCTGTTGGAGCTTTCCAGTGGAAAGGTGGTTACCAGGAATATGTTCCAAGTAGCTCCTTTCAAACAGGCAATAAGCATGAAAGCTATCTAGGTAAGGCTTTATTTTTGAAACATACTAAAATACAGAAGACGTGAATTTAAAGTCAGTTTCTCCTATACAGCAAAAACAACTAAGAACATGCATAATACTGAACTATTGAATTTTGTCTGAAGGTTATTCGATGGCTGTTGCAACAGTTTCAGGGATCAGCTATGCTATTCTTGGAGCACCAAGATACGAGCATCAAGGACAAGTCATTGTATCACAAATAGGAGCCAATCAACATAAAGTGCTGGAGTTTCCCACGGTTGTTCACAATAATCACAGTATCATTTTCCCTATGCAATGATTGTGTAATAAGTCAAGATGTTACAGTGCTTCTGTAAGTTTGATTTTAAAATTAGTGGATACTTAAAATACTTAAATACTTAAAAGCAGCCCTCCAATCACCCCACACCCGTTCCTGCACTTATGGTAGATTTCTCTCCACAATTTCGTGTCATCTAAAGCCTTTATTTATAATTGTGGCAGCCAACACACTCATAAATCACAAAGGGAGTTTTTTTAATGTCAACCAACAACATTACAATTTAGCTTTCAGTATTTCATTATAGAAAATCTAAACAAGCATTCGTAACTGAAGAAAACATTTTTCAGGGTTTGACATTTGAAATATCAGTTTCAAAATCCTTCTGATGGGACCCTGACTTCTAATATGGCAACCAGCAGAAAGTAGATAAAGCTAATATTCATGTTCAAACTTCTCTTTTCTCAGCCTCAAATTGGCTCATATTTTGGAGCTGAGGTTTGTGTGGTGGATTTGAATAGGGACTCCAGAACAGACCTCCTGTTGGTATCGGCACCAATGTACATGGAGCCTGACCGGGAGGGCAAAGTGTTTGTTTACACCTTTACGAGTCAGGTAAGTGATGGGGATAAAACTTTTTTAGAACATTTTGAAAATTAATTTAGATTTAAAGATTTTTTTT